GGGGGGGGGACAGGCAGAAAAGTGATCGGGGGTCTGGGGGGTAGCAGGGCAGGGGTCCCCCCTATGGTCCCCTCCCCCCTCCTCCAGTCCCCCCAACCCTGTACTTACAGGCACTGGAGTCCTGGTGCTGAACATACAGCCTGGCCAGCCACGTGTTTCAGCACCAGGGCAAGGGGCCAAACACAGAGATGCTCTGGCAGCCAGAGTGTCTCTGTGGAGGACCCAGCCTCCGGTTGCCTCAGGGCATGGTCCAGGATTGCACTTTGCCCCATTTTTCAAACTTTCATTTTTTTAGACCCCTGGATATCCAGGGGTCTAATTTTCTCCCCGTGAACTTTTTTTTGTTTCCATGAGTGCCTCTTGCCCCATCTCAAAGGGGTTTGAGATGGGGCAAGAGGCACGAGCGTGTTTGTCTGGATGCACCCATTAGGTCACCAATTTAAGTTTTACTAAGGCAAGTTTGAACTGTACCTAGTCCTCTTACATAGTCCTCAACACCCACCGTGAGGTAGATAAATGTCTTGTAGTGTGGACAAACACTTAATCTGCAACAAGTATCCAGAGGTGCTGATTTACTGCTCTTTTATTCAGGGTTAAGCTGCCCTAGTTTAGCTTTTATTTACCATGGGATAAGTGAAAGCTACCTGTAAGCAGCTCCATGGTAAATCCTTGCTTTGTTAAATTACTATAGTTTGATAGCTTATTCATAACCCTTTCTATAAATAAGATCTTTAGCAGTTTATGTCAATTGTGTATGTTGACATAATTTATAATTTATGAAGTTGCTTGGACTTCTGCCTCCTTTCTGGTCTCTCAGAATACATTGCCCCAGTGTCAGACTGTTCTATTAGGGTGGAATTTTATAATCCCCCTTTCAGACCAAGATCCAGGTACAACACCCTATCTGTTTCATGCACAGAGCTCTGTGCAATAATAAGGGACTTTATTTGGATTGCAAGAACTCTGAATTTGAGCAGCTGAATTACCTAAAGGAAAAACCCAAACAATTGCTGGTATAGAACAAATACACGAGGTGTACCAACATGGGCAACTAATGAGCCGTGATAAACTCTGGCTCCATTTGAGTTGAGTACACTGCTCCTGGGCACAGCATCTGCATGTGCCAGGGACAGCAGTACTTGGGCTCCAGGTGGTGACATCAGACAGAGTTCGGGCTGGCTAGGGCATGAGGGTGCAGAACCTGCGGAGCTGTGTGGCTAGGCAGCAGTGCCACAACCAGGAGCAGGACCAAGAGCACCTTTCCAGTGACAGTGGGATGGGGGAAGAGGGTACAGGTCCAGCATCCAAGTGGAGAGATGCTCAGGGAGAGCAGGTCCCTGAAGCTCCTGTAGCATACCGTGGCTGGGGAGCAACAGATTTAGAGTTACTCTCACTAAGCCTTGTCTTTTAATCACAGGCCTTGCTTTTGTCTGGATGTGCTGCAACTGGTCCCTCCGACATTCCAATACTCTGTCTCAGAAGTTTGGTAACACTGGCCACAATTTGGGGTGTGTATCCAAATTCACTATCATGTGCCTATTTCACTTTCATCTTACTAGCCTTACGTAAAAAATGAGCTTGTGTCTATCCTGTATTATTGGCATGGAATTACAGAAATAAAGAACTATAAATTATTCTAATTTCAAATATCCACATATGCAACATTGTTTCTTAAATTACCAACTAGATAATTTGATTAGGTGAAAGAGATTATGGTTTACACAAAGAATCAGTTGTAAACTATTTCAGGAACGTCCCAGAGTTGTACATACTGGTGGAAGCGCAAGTGAAACTGAATCACATAAGGCAGTGAGGTTACCTTTATTATTAGATCAAGATAATTCAGCTACATGCTTATTTGCAGTCTTGGGGCTAATAAATACATTTAGCTAATAGGGTACAATACAAATTATATTCTGGAAAAAAAAATGGTAGAAGTTTTCCCATTAGTTCTGTCATCACAAGTGCACTCTATAGATCACTGTGGAGACAGGGAAATTGTTTCCATGCCCTCTTTGTTCTGATAACTGAGTAAATATACTGCTTTTGAGTAAGGTCAATATAACTATTCAAAACGCTTCTCTTTAGCACTCCTAATACTGAAAGATGTAGCAAATGGCAGGTATTTCAGTATAGAGTAGAAAGGCCCACTCTGGAGAGAAAGAAGAGGGTGTTTTATTAGATGATAGACAACATAGCTCAAGATAACAATAGAAATCTGCATAGAAGAGTTTTGATCCTTGGCAATATGGCAAGATTGATCCAAAAAAGGGGCTAGCTTTCAATGCCACACTTCAAACAACTGTGCCCAGATCTCTAACTCCAACACCTAAGTGATTTTAGGCGAATTCAGAAAAATTAAGACCAGCAGAGTTTTTAGAAAACCACCAGACTTATTAGCAGGGGACCACTGACACAGGCTTCCTCTCTCAAAAGGTATGACGTAGTACATCATTAAAAAAAACTAAAAAACAAAGCAAAACAAAATACATCCTTACAAATAAATGGACAAGAAATGGCTTTTATTAGATGGGACTTCTGTAAAACACAGGAAGGCAAACTACCAGTTCAATTATAGATCACAGATGAAACGTATGTTAGTGAAACTTCCGTCACTACATATAGAGCTCAGCTTATTTCTCTAGAAACACAGTGATGCCTACAATCAGCAACATTATTTATTTTTACCTTTGAAATAAACATATGACAGGAAATAATTCTGTATTTTATGGGCAACTGATCAGTTAGAGCTTTGCATCTTAGCTACCTCACATGAGATGTCAAACACTTGAAAATAAAATATCAATTATCTCAGATTACTTATACAAATATTTAACATTTTAAAGGGAAAAGGGTCATCACCCCTCTGCACTCCCATTTCAGGACTAGTAGTTGATATAGGTCTATGATGGCCAAACTGTGCCTTGCGAGACTTGTGGCTCTGGAAATTGGCCGCAGCCCTGCTCATTTCTTCCTGAGATGACTCTGGGGGACAGTGCAGCCCAGCACCTACTGCTGCTCCGGCTTTCCCTGCAGGGAGTGCACCCTGCCCTGGTCTCTCCCTTTCTCCCTCTAGCACTGCTGGCTCAGGTGCTGCTCTGCCAGGTCGGGGCTGCAGCTACGCCACTTACCCCAGGGTGTGCTCACTACAGGGAAAGCCTGAATGGCTCAGCAGTGCAGGGGAAGGTGTGGTCACTTCCACTCTGAGTTGCTCACCACCCCCCACTCATTCTCTGGCTCTTGAACTTCAATGGAGGATCAGATGTGCCTCCCAGGGTGACTAACTCTGGCCATCCCTGATACAGGTATTTGGAAAATGCCAATTAGTTTTAGCAAATTTTAAGAAGTTTTTCTAAGTTTCCTTTTTTCAAAAAAAAAAAACAAACCAATTTGACAAACACGACAAGGAACAGAAATTATCTATGAAAATTTTTATTCAAATCTGTTTAGACCAGTTCTATCACAAAAAAAACAACAAACCCAAGCAACCGCCCCCCTCCCCTGTGTTTTATTTTTAATGCAAAAACATTAGCAGTAAGGCTCTGGAATCCCTAAATATATGGTAAAACTTGACTTAAATGGGATCAGCATTACATCAAAAGACATTCGGGGGGAAGGATGAAGAATCAATATGTACACTGTACAGAGCTGTCAGGAGTCCGGCTGGGAATTTTAGTAAATTTGCTTGGCTTTATCACAATCTGCCCCATGTGGATTCATATGAGCTGCAGTTGGCATTTAGGATAACTAAGGCCCTTATCCTGCAAGCATTTTTGTACTCATATAATGACTTGTAGGTTTCTAAAGTCTTTAAAGTGTTGAAGCCGAAAGTAAGATGGGCTAGGTGTGTATCATGAGATTGATGTGAAAAGCATTTCTTATTCTCAAAAAAAGTCCAGAAGATTCTCTTTAGCTGCTTTAGATTTTATTTTTCAAGGTTGGATCCAGAAGGGAGTAGTTAACTTTTACAAAAATAAGCACAAGTGAAAAGGTCAGTTAACAATCTTCTGTTTACTTTTTCAAGTCTGGTGACATTTATGGCACCTGTTGTACAAGTCTGAATATTGAGGCATATGACAGGTTTCAGACTCAAGATCCAAATTTGGAATGAAAAAGCATCACACAAGACATCTCAACCGAGTCGCATCTAGTTTAGCCAAATTTGCTTATTTTGAAATGTTATGGTCACTCTTCTTCTGGTAGATGCTCTCTTTGTGCAAATAAATAAATAAATGTCTTTGCCTCTTAGAAAGATTTTTATACAAAAGATCCTCAATACCCTTTTCTGAAAAGAAACTTAAAGCAGATTGGATCCAGTAAACTAATGCAAAACTTCAGTACACGCTTAATTCAGGGTTTGGAGGCAGTCCACCTATGCACTTCATTTGACTGAAGAATATTTCAATGTCATAAAATGAAGACTCATTATGACTCTTATTTATGCAATGAATAGCTCTAATACTAAGCTTTTACCAGTGCTGGGGGGAAACTGACTACTCAGTTTCAACAATATAGCAGTAGAGAAACAAGAGGACATACGGAGGGAAAAGTGAAATTCAGTTTGCAACTCCCAATCAAACCCGAATTCCAGTGTACAGTATAGTGGAATAAAGGTTCCTGCTGCATTTTGTTGGTTAACCAACATGGAAGATTTTCTCTTTTGTACTTTGGGAAGTTAAACTCAATTGTTCTTGCAAGGCCCCATAGTAGAAAAAGCAAGAAACTGAATTGAAGCAGCTCAAACTAGTTGCAAATTATTGCATTTCTGCCCCCACAGCAAGAGTGAGTAGTTGGACTTAATGGCTCCTGCATCTCTTTCTCTTCCTGAGTTCCTACTTAACATGGAAAGCGTTGAAAGCGTACAACAGGAACACCTGTTTCATACAGTATAAAGTACTTAAAAACATCTTGAAATTGACCCAACCTAGGTAGTTTTAGGGCTGCTAGTAGCAAACACTGACAATGGTAGAGATGAGTGAAAAAGATTAACCCATCCTTTACACCCAGCAGGCAGTATGTTGATGGTCAAATGAGCCTGCTAGGCATGGTTTAAGCACAAATTTAGTTTCATTTTTTCTTTAGCTCCTATTTCTGGTTTATTCTTTTATTTGACAATTTTGTATTGTAGCTCTGTAAAGAGAACCAAGCAATGGCAAAGAAGGAAATAATTCTAATTGCAGCTAAAATATAAATTATTAATGGTCTTTTCCCCTAGTTTGTCTTGCTCTTAAATGTTCTTTGAATACAAGATACATGCTTTAAACTGATTGTCGGTCACTGAGACCAGGTCTGTAAGTGTAAGGTTGGCACTGGGACAAGCCAAGTTTAAACACTTCGAACACAATTTAACCTCCTCAAATGTCTGTACTTAGCCTAACTGCTGAAGGCTGCAAGTGAGAGGAACATTGGAAAAAACCTGTCATGTGCAGTTCACTCTGTTTCAGCATCCACTCTGGGCAAGATAGACCTATGATTTGACCCAGTAAACGACAGTTCGTATGTTCTTATGGCTGTAAGTCTGGAAGCACAAATTATGCCACATAACTTTACAGTCCAATTAAATAAATTATATCTGGACAGGAACACAGAAATAGTTCCAAGTTTAAGTTGCACAGGAGCAGAAATGTTTGAAAAATAATTCCAAATAAAGTTGCAATTTTAGATCGTTATTTTCAGTATGTAGTCAGAAGACACCAATATGTATATATATCCCCTTAAAATTATTTTGTAGAGTGAAAATTATGGTCCCTCTAACCAAGACTGGAATGCTCTTCCTGCAGACCCAGCAATATTCTTTTTGCAACAAATGAGGAAAATAGAAGACAGCATTTGTTTTTCACAATAAGTACATACAGTGTGTGTTTCCCCCAAAGCATCATACTTAATGTGAAACTGTCACTTTTAGATAGCAAAACATATACTCAATAAGGCCCGATTCTGCAAATATTTTAGCACGTGCTTAATTAACGGTGCATGTGTGTCATCAGTCCCACATTAATCATTTGTCACAATCCCATAACAGGAATGCATGCTAAGCCAAGTTCTGGATCTGCATTTTACAGATTTTGAATCTTTATTTCCATGGAGTCACAAATTGGCAATAAGATAAAGCTTAAAAAAAAAATTTAAACAAACTGTTATGAAACAGGACAAGTATGATAAGCCGTAAAGATTTTTACATAAAGTTTTCAGACTGGTCACAGGGTGCTGCTCAATCCTGAATGAAGACTGTTTACCACTCTTCAGAAGTTATTTTCTCAAGTAAAATAAACCACACAGTATTAAATTTTAAATTATAATTTTTGTGCATAAGAAAAATACATTATTCATTGAAAGATATTTATAAACGGTCCTAGAAAGAAAAAAAAGTGAAGTTTCAAATGGTACTCTGCAGGGGGAAGTTCTGATCTACTGTTGAGGTTTTGTTGTTGTTTAAGAGTTAGATCCAACATGGGAGTCTCACTGAATTACTATTACTTTGCTGGATCAAAGGCCTGCCCTGGATGCATCCAATTTACAAGATCTAGGCTTAACTATATACACAGAAACATACAAAAAGAAAATTACCCCCCAAAATGTTATTTTGTCAACAACATGAGTTGTACATATTCAAAGTTTCACAAACAAAAGAAAAAAAAAATCACAAAAGTGAGAAACGTTTGTTTGTCTACAGAATCAGGAAACTTCTCAAAGACCCAGGAAACTTCTCAAAATACTATTACACTGATATTCTTGAGTGGAATAAATGAAAACAAGACATGCATTTGTGTGAGACAACTTACTTTATTTGCGCAATTCTCAAATTAAGTTAATTGCTTAAAAAAAAAACCCGTCAAAAGGCACTTAAAATAGTTATTTAAAAATAAATTCATATGGTGAGCACTTACAAGTCACCAACCAGTTTGCCACTAATGGAATTATTTTCTTGTCTTAAAATCCAAACAAACATTCACAGATTTTCTTTGGGACATACTGCCCAGCAGCAAGATGCATCTCCCAAAATATTCTTTGTACAGTTCATGCAGTTGATGTTGCAGAGTAACTTAAACACAATACACAGTAACATGAAGAAATATTATACTTGTGCAGTTCCACACAATTTTTTCTGGTCAAGTGAAATATAGGGCTGATTGGAAAGACTTCTATGAAGGTGTGTGTTTTCATCGGTGTATGCAGTATTTATTAATGTTAAATAGGAACTACATTATCCAAGCAATCACTACTTTTCTGCAGACTACCAGAGTACAATGAATTGAAAAAAATTACTCCCATCCTATCAGGGAACCAGTCTGCTAAATTTACTCACTAAAACATCCACAAGTGAAAGTATAGAAAAAGCTAGGGGCAACGTGTGAAAGAAAAATAATCTGAACAGTTTTGACATGCAGGAAACTATAGGAAGCATTTCCAGAGAGAAAAATCTAAGAACAAACAAAGGGAAATGACATCACAGTCAAAGGACAAGGGCACTGCATGTTTAACTGGGAAGTATAAGTGTATTATCTTAGCTAGGGTTACCATACTTCCAGTATCAAAAAAGAAGACACCTGTGGGAGACAGGGGGGAGCAGGGGCAGAGAGGCATAAAACTGTGTGCGCGCGCGGGGTGGGGGGAAGAAGGGAGGAGACGGGCAGTGATATGCCCGTGCCCTGCTTCTGCTCCTCACTTCTAAGCCCCCAGCCCCCCGTCCCCCAGCACTGCCAGTGCCCCTCACTCAGGACCCACAGCACCCTGCCCCCCATGTAGCTCCCATGCACACACACACATGCTTACCTGGTGAGTAGAGCACGTGACCCCCAACAGCCAATCACCTTGCCCAAGCAGCCAAGCTGCTAGTCCCTGGGAAAGTAGAGGCAGAGCAAAAACCTGGACATTGGCTTGTATTTTAAAAATCCACCCAGACACGAGGACAGGGAGCCAAGAAAGGAGGGCATGTCCAGGAAAACCTGGACGTATGGTAACCTCATCTTATGCAAACATACTGCAAGATAAACTGGGAAAAAACACAGAGGGAAAAGATAGAAATCTAAATTAGTCAATTCCTCTTAAGTGGCAAAGACCAGTTTCAGCTATAAGGCTAAGCAGACATGGCATTTATCCCAGGTCTGCTTGTCCCTGGCTTTGACTCCTATCAAAACAGCTGTGGAACAGTCATCTGCAAAAACGCAGACATGCTACACTGCAAAAATAATTCCAACAATAGAAGTAGCCGAGCTGTAAATTTGTTACTTAGAAAAAAAAAAAATAGGTGTAGAACAATTTAAAAACTGGTTTATATCATGCTTTAATTTGAAAATGTGGCATGTCACACAATACTTCACATTTACTTATGGTGAATAACAATGAGTTTATACATCTGTAGAATGCCAGAATAGAAGGTTTTGTCCTGGGAGAAGCTGGATGTCTGTTTTTAGTCTAAGAACTCAAACATATAACAACAGATTGAGGATGTTCTCATGCCAAAAGAAACTGAAGAAGAGCTAAAAGATGAAAAGGCAGAAAGAGAGTGAAAGCAAAAGAAAAACAACAAAAAGCATTTAAGTTCTAAGACTGCAACAAGCAATGAATATTCCAATTCCCAGAACAAACCCCTGAGGATTGTAGAACGTCTACTATCCAACAATTTAACGAAATTTAAATTACAGTTTTACAATTGGATTTTTTCAGTAACAACTGCTGATGCAAGAAAGCACTCAGGCTTTTTTTTAAGATTAAAAATGAACCATATGACATAAAACAGTCTCTGACTCTAAGGTTCAAAAACATATATTCTAAAAAACAGCAATTCATCAACACAAAATTCATTATAGCAGCTTGCTTGGGCTGCAAAAGCTGTAAAAATCAGTCTAACGTTTGCTCTTTAAGTCTGAGGTCATGAGGCTGAAATCAATGGCTGGTCACTACAAAACACCATACAAGAAGGCTGTACTGTTAGATCTTCTGACAAATCCCATCAGACTTTTATTAGGCAGACATGTTTTGTAAGTGAAAAATGAACATGGGCACCAAGGTACAAAACTAGCTGATGTTTTCTAGGCATAATTACTTTTTCAATAAGAATATAACAATCTAAGAGTAAAACCAGCCCAATTATAGAAGCACTTACAACAAAAAAGTAACAGTCAACAATTTTTTGTAAGAACCTGGCACAGTAAAGCAGTAAAAGTCTGCCCTCCTTTCTCAACACATGTTGAACAGCAAATGCAGTAGTTTTCCCTAGCCCGAGAGGTGGGGCAATACAGAAGGCATTTATGATTTATTGCAGGGGTATGAAACTCATCTGGCCCTGTGCACTAGATGAGGGATGTGAAGCTGGTCTGCAGGCTGGATTGGCCCTGCTGACCAGTCCCATATGTGGTATATGTCCTGGACTGGCCCTACAAGTAGTATGCACCCCAGCTCTAGGTCTGCACACAGCACATTGGTTAGCCCCAGCCCCATGTGCCATATGAGGGGCCATCTGTGGGCCTGATCTGGCCTGGCCCCAGGCCCAGAATTCAGATTCAGGCTGTTGTGCCCTGAAACAGCCCTTCATGTGCCCAAAACGGGATCACAGACAACAGACAACTCCACATACCACATGCAGAGCTGGTCCAAGGCCTATGGGCAGCACTGATGGTTGGATGACAGGAATCCACGGCCCAGATGCAGCCTGCAGGCAGCACCTTTGACACCCTTACTTTACTGAGATAGGATAAATATAAATGTCCTATACTAGGCAGTCATTTTACTGGCTACACCACAAGACAGAAAGTTGCTTTTTGTCTCGAGGTAGGTCAAGGACACTGAAGCTCACTAAAAACAGAAAGTGAACTAGCAGTAGTGAGGAACTGCAGGCCAAAATGTTGTAGGTCTTTCACACTGGCAGAGTTAATAATATTTTAAAACAAAAAGTACCAACTTTAAGTTAAAGGTTCTGTGGTTTATTAAAGGAAGTTGAGTCTGAACAATGTACTAATCACTATAACTCAATGTTTTTGGCATTTGAACTTCATAATCCTGTTGGCTTGCATCTTGCAGATGATGTAACTAATTAATGATTAACTCACGCAGGAATATTTTGCTCAACTTCAATTGCATTCTGCGGCTCAGAAGAAGTGTAAAGCAGCAGCATTCTCCTGCGGACCTCAGAGATTTATGAGATTTTTAAAAAGATTAAAACTACGTAAAAAGTCTACACAGGTTAACTCACAAACATTTGTAAAGGTGTTATCCCTTCCAGTCTACATGAGGTAATTGTGCTGGTGAAAAAAATACTCATGATGAAATACTAATCTTTGATTCTGCCATAACTACTTGTTTAATTACTATTTGGTAATATCTGTTGTACTGGGAAGAGAAACACCCTGTATTCAAACAGGAGGCAAAGGTGGACATATTTACTTCACTTTCCATGAGATACTGCAGTTACTGCCATCCTGTTACAAGGTAGTTACAGAAGAAGCTAGATAAAGTAAATCACGACCCATGACAGAGTTCAGCAATCTATGGTACGCAGACCAGATGTTGCCTACTGAACCTCTGGAACCAACCCAGGAAGCTGTGGCTTCTGTGCCATTCAGCTGTGGAGGGTGGGGGGATTTCCCTGCACCATGCTGCAGTTAGGTGCCCAGGGCTTCAGTGGAGGGGGAGCTTTTGCTGTACCATGCTGCAGCCTACTGCAACCTCTGTACCCTCCAGCTGCAGCACAGTACAGGCAGACTGGGGCTTCCACCATGCCACCGCTGGGTCTTGGGAAGAAAGGGCTCAGTGGCCAAGGGCTTAGTGCCTGCTGGCCTCCAAACCAAGCTGATTGTTCAGCCCCTCTCTTGCCAGAAAATGATGCAACACACTGACTTAATATTGGTTGGTAGTAAGCATCTGCTTTTCATGCTCTTCTCTAATATAGTGCTAGATGCACCCTTCCCTGCTCTAATAAGTCCATCTGAGATTGGTGCTGCACATATGCCAAAAGGCAGCTACAATACCAGTGTTTTGATACCCAAAGTGTATGACCTTGGAAGTGAGTCAGCAGGAAATATTTTCATGTGACATGAGGCACACTGAGTAAGGCCACCTTCTAGCATTATTATCACCAAAACAATAGCTAAGAGCAGCCAAGTTTGGGTCATACTCAACGTGATGAAGGTAAAAAGTGAAAAAAAGTTAGGAAGGCCTCTGCTAAAAACTACAGGCTGAAGATAAAGAGATATGTCAAGATAGTCAGACCCTGGAGCTGGACTAATGATATAGGATGCTTACAGACATGGGAAAACTTCCAAACAAACAATAAAAACCCTAGTGCTTTACTTTCACCTCAGCGCATCCCAGCGCCAAGTGCAACGCGTGCCCGGAAGAAGAATCGCATCAGTTTGATCCGGCTTGCCCAGCATCTGTGTAGCTCATGTGCTTCAATGAGGCTTTTTGGTGCTTTTACCTAATAGCTGAATCACCTATTTGATAAAAGTGCCGAAAAACCCCGCTGAAGCATGCAAGCTATACAGACGCTGGGGAGTCAGGTCCAACTGATGCAATTCTACTTCAGGGCATGTGCTGGTTTGTTTGTTTTTGGGGGGGCATGTCTGTCAGCACCCCTATATGAGGCAAAAGTAGGGGGACAAAAAAAAAAGTCTATAGTAGGTTTCATCTCCAATTGAGGGATTTTTGGTGCATTACAATGCATTCTTTGTCCTAGATAAGTGGATTATTTTACTGATACACAGAGCTACTTCCCATAGCCACCTAGTGCGTAAGACTAAAGCCCTTTGGAAGACTTCTGTATTCAGAAGGACACAACTATACATAAAACTTCCCTACACTAAAATTTCAGAAAGAAGTGCAAATAAATAATGGATTTTTTTTGAAACATTAAAAAAATCCCCCATAAAATAAGAACCTTGCTGTTATCTAAAATGGGACCTATTCCATCGGGATGGACTCCATAAATAAACCGAATGACAAAACTAAGAGTAAAGCAAATATGTAATTTAAATGGAAATAAACCAATAGAAGAACTTGGCAAGTTGAAGAATTATTCAGGTGCTACTGCTTAAGTGCCATGCTTTATGCAGCAAACATTTACTGATTGCAAACCAAAAGAAAGAAAAAGTTGTTTGGTAATGCAATGAACAGAGGGATGGACTTGAGTTTGTAACAGATCAACTTCTAGTTAACGCTGGTTGAGAAGTTCTGGTTTTTAATTTATGCCCATTCAAGCTATAGGTTATATCATGAGCTAGAGAAAAAAATGTTCATATCTGCCCATACTATACCTGTCTCCTCAACCTATTTCAAGGTATACAATCTAATTACTGCTGTGTTTTTCCCACTCGGACTTCAACAAGCCAATTTGGTGGCAACTTTGTGGAACAGTCTTCAGTGGAAATTTATACTGAAGCCTGAAGTAAATAAATCATTTCAATCATGAAACAAGCAAATAATCCTTCAGATCAGTTGGTGAACCTGAGCATTTGGCATACCTGTTTATACCAAATGATCTGAAGTCTGTCCTTTTAAAGGCAAAGTGGTTACTTAGTATCTTCTCAGGGTCAGCTCTTTCACATCAAATTTCTTCAGTATCCTCAGCATCTCAAAGAGCTCAGCCTGTGTAGCACAAGATTTGATTTCTAATACTAGCACTAACCCAACAGAACGGGAATAAGAACTGCAAGGAATAAAGGAACAGAAACACTGTGTGATCATTCCTGACCCTGGCCCCCCGCCATTCATTTTAATACATTTTTCTAGTATAGATTTTTCTAGTATAGATTTTCTAGTATATCATAACTACGATTTCACAGCTCACTTTAAAGCTATAGGACTGGATTCTGAAGACCCACCTATAAGAAAAGTCCTACTACCTCAACAAATAAAAGCCATTGTATTGCAACCTATGGTCTGCAGCCTTTCAGTAAGACAATCTGATTTCAAAGAATCACCAATAGTAATTCCAGTGTTCTGTTTGAGCTAAATGAAATAGCTCACCATTCCACAATACTTCTTTCAGTGCACTATTATCCACTTCACTGTTGATAAAGAGTCTGATTAATTTTCAGGGGTTTTCCGCTTTATCTTTTGCATCGCTATCCTTTGCTTCACTCTTGCTTTGTTTTTCTAGGCTCTTGGGAGAGTCGGGGTTATACCGATAGAGGTAACCATATGGACGGAGATGATGAATCAGATATTCCAATTGATACATAGTTGTGGGATCAACATAGTGGAATGAAACTGCCAGATCTGAGCAGCAACCAGGACCCTAAAAATAAGGAAACAAAAAGAATCTTAAAGGGAATTTTAAAGTGTGCATAAGGTTAAAAAAAAACTTCTGAGACACACTATTTGCCTGCAAACACCAAGACAAATAATGGTGGTCTTCAGTATAAATAGTTCACCGTTGTAAGTTATACTTTCTAAACAAAGATCAACAGGAAAAAGGGTAGTAAGAATTTGGGAAATGTTTATAAAATCATTGTCTTCAAATGTGAATGCAATTCTCTCAAGAATATTTGGCAATATTCATTTTAGTATGTTCCTTTATCAAAAGCAACTAAGGATTGCCTTCACTGAAGACTTGATTAACCTAAATCGCATACCTAAATAAAATTATCTTGGCTTTATACGTTGCTCAACAAGTATAAGCAAAAATGAGTAACTTCTTTTTGAGTAAGTTCTCAAAATTTAAAAAACAACAAAAAATACAAAACACAAGGAGCCCAAGTATCATGCTGATACATCAGTGGATCCCAGCTCACTACTCATAATGGACTCACCTTAGAGATAACAGTCAAGGTTTTTGTTTTGTTTTTAAACGTTTAATATTTCTCCAAACTTTGAATAATTATTTTGCATCTCTTAGCACAAAAAGAAAGCTAAATGCATCTTTGCATCAATGGACAATGTTGAGCCAAACTAGGGACTTCCCAAATTAGAGGTATTTACTGAAACTCACTTTCTGCCCATTTGTCACCTTTTCCAGAATCTTCGCTCAAATTCTAAAAACCTATTTTCCTTATCTTCAATTTCCTTTTCATGTTCAGCCATAGTCTTCCATGTTTCTACTTCATATTTAGTTTAACTGAGAGGGAGAACTGAACAGGCAAGACCTTCATGTCACTGCATATGGGGCTAGCTAAACAGTGAAAGATTTCTGTTTGTAACCTACTACTGAACTAGAGTAGCAAAACCTCTCAAATGACTGGTTCTGTGACAGTGTAGATGTTTCACTTAATTGCACCATAACTAGTAATCCTGACACACATTCAGGCAATTAATGATGTGACAAAACCAAAAGCCAGCCACAAAAATATTCTACAAAGCACATAACATTGTCATGGCTGGCTTCCATCACACTTTAAAGTTGAACATGCATCAGGGGAGACCTGCCATACAGCCTGATACCAGCTGCATGGCAGGGCTTGGTCGACAGCTTCTCCTGGGTTGGAAAGCTGAAAGCCATGTGGCGCAGTTCTTCATAGCACCCTGAAAACTGGCGTTCAGGCCAAGTCATACATTCATAGATGTTAGGGACGGAAGTGACCTCAGTAGGTCATCGAGTCCGACCCCCTACCCTGGGCAGAAAAGAGCACCGGGGTCAGACGACCCCAGCTAGGTGCTTGCCTAGTCTCCTCTTGGAGACCCCCAGGATAGGGGAGAGCAACACCTCCCTTGGAAGCCTGTTCTAGATTCTGGCAACCCTTACTGTGAAGAAGTTCTTCCTGGTGTCCAGCCTAAATCTGCTCTCTAGCCTAAATCTGCTCTCTGTCAATTTGTGGCCATTGTGCCTAGTTACTCCAGGGGATGCCTTAGTAAACAGATAATCACCTATTCCCTGCTGTCCTTCTCTGATGAATTTATAGGCAGCCACAAGATCACCTCTCAGCCTTCTCTTGTGAAGGCTGAAGAGATCTAGGTCCCTCAGTCTCTCCTCGTAGGGCCTTGCCTGCAGGCCTCTGACCATATGAGCGGCCTCCTCTGAACCCTCAAAATTCTCCGCATCCCTCTTGAAGTGCAGCACCCAAAACTGGATACAGTAGTCCAACTGCAGCCTGACCAGTGCCGCATAGAGGGGAAGCATCACCTCCCTGGACCTGTTTGTCATGCATGCCTCTCTCTCATGTCAGGCATTTATTATTTAATCCTATACTGTTTTACAAATTGTGAATATAATTTAAGAAGTCTTCATTGTGCAACAGTCCAAGAAAAAGTGTCTGTGATTATAAGAATTTCTTTGTGGGAAACGGTAACAATACTTCTTTTAAGCTAGAGTACTGCTACCTAATTGTGCAAGGGCACAACATCATAAGGCAGCGATAGCTCCTTTTAACAGCAAATATCCAGGAAGCAAGAACTCTGCTTCTCTCCCAGACATGATGAAGTGAACTTTGTATCTGAAAGCTTAACATCCCTCCCGGTTCTACAGCAAGCATTTAGTAAGAGAACTGGAAATGCTCTTCTCTATAAAAAGTAAAGACCTCTAAAAAAAAGACAAAACCCTGAAAAATAGTTAACCAGTAAACCATAAGATGGCCTACTGGAGCATTATGTTCATTTTTTTTTTTTTTAAATAAAACATTAGAAAATTATTTTGATTTAGGAATTCTCCTGGAAAACTAGGTTCTTCCCTTCCAGTTTTGATTCACTAACAGTTTATATAAGGGTAGAATTAAGCTGATCTTAGGTACTCACAATTAAATAGTTTTGCCAACACAATTTAAATGCTGAAATTCAAGCAGTTCAACAGCCCATAATCATCTATCAATCAACAGATATAAAATGTATTTTATATTATATAAAATATAGTACCTTATAACATACCATATCAATGTACAGATATAGATATGTAACAAATGTAGTGTTATATGATGTCCAAATTTTCTAAAACATACACAAAAAAACCCACCTACCTCCACAGCAGGATAATAATTATAATTCCAATACCAAAATGTCTTTGGTAGGTATCCTCGGATTAAGAGATGTTCTGGCACAAAGGGATGAAAAGTTTCTTTACCACTTGTGTCCCTTGAATCTCCAGCTTCTACGTTAATAGTCTCCATGCATTTTCCAAGTGCAAGGTCTTCAATAGAAGAGCTATGAGAACATTTGTTGGTTTTAAATGCATTAACAAATCTCTTTAGAGCTTCTTTGCTCAGTACATATCCTGCTCCTCCACTCATGTAGCCCTGTTTCACATAAGGCTTGAACCTTCTTCCAAAGTATATTGGTTGTTCTGGACTGTATTTTGAAAGAAGCCACCTCAAATTATCCAATATGACATATGTATCATCATCTGCTTTCATAAACCAGTCAGCATCATCAAAATAATGATCATGTACATACTGGAAAGCTTTAATAGTTTTCCAATACAATTGGTCCCTGCCTTCTTTGGCTTCTAGGCCCACGGTTGGAAAATCTTTATTCTCCTCAGAGCTCATAAATAATATTTTATTGCAATGCTGTGCCCAAGTGGCTTTAACATGTTTGGCTTTCTTCTCTAGATTCTGAGGCCCAGTCATGACCCAACAGAGTATTTTGACCTTCTGATACAAGTCATCAGCAATAAGTTTGTTTTCATCTGAAAAAAAACCAAATTCCAAGATAAAGCTTAGTGAATACACTAAAGTAAGACAAATGGAAGAATTGAACACACAGAAAAATATCAACCATTTATATCAGGAAAACATCATGTATTGTACTAGATATTAAAGAACACGAAAAGAAAGGAGAATGGGAATAAGCTCAATATAACTATTCACTAGAAGGAACTACTGTTTTGGAGCTCTGTTGCTGTTGCTGCTAATGCTGTTATTTTAGGTACAGAACAATGTAACCACAGCTCAATTTGAATGTTAGTCACTAAACCCCAGGTAATACAGGTAACCTACTCTATTAGGTTAATGAGACGGAAGTTAAATTCAGAAAAGAGAAGCAGTTCAAATATTATTCCTACTTAATTTTACAAGAAAAAGAGGGCAATATTAGCATTGGCCAAAATTTAGATTATCTCACAAAAAACAAGAGATTTGCAAAAATGCATCTGAATTCAACGTTTTTATTAAAACTAGTTTGAAAGAATCTTCCTTGTAGTGCTGTGAAGTCAATGTAAATGAAAAAATAAAAATATGAAGGCAATACAGGCATTCCAGAATGTTTTTCTTAAATCTGAAATGGAATCCAGCTCTCTTTGCCATACAGGTAATTAGAGCAGCTGGGCAATAACACTTTTTTTTTTCCGCCTTGTGGAAAGCTCAAGCTATCATATATGGAAAGAAACTGCTCTGTCCCCCACCTATTCTAGATGAAGCACATGGCAAGTAGTTGGTCTCTGTGAAAAATTACTCTTTAGAAAATGCAAATTGGTAAACAAAACCCATCATCCAGGGGCTTCTGAAAGAAAGGTCACTTGAATTTAAATATTGGGTGTAGGTAAAGGACTAAGAAAGCCCTATGTGCAAATACCTGGCAACCAAATTATATAGAACCTGAACATTTTTCTCTGCTGCTTTACATAATTGTCCCTCTCTCTATATACTGTACAAAACAAAAGTACCTTTATGCTGCCCAGCATCTGCATTGAAGTTCATTTGTCCCTCCAGCTGATTATTTCCAGTTTCTTCTATGTGCTCACCGTGAGGATCATTGTGAAGAACATGAGGATGGATCTCAACTTGTTCTTCTAGCACTATACTAAATAGCACATAGCATAAGAAAAATCCTATTGCTGACCCAAAAGTGAAGGTTACGAGACTCAGCAAAGATTTAGGAGAGGCCATTTCCCGAAGGCAATATGCTGTCAAGAAAGAAAAATAGCTGGTAAGTTCCTCTGAGCTTAATTTAAGAGATGCAGAGGAGTGCAGGAAGGAAGTCAAGTCACAAACTCAGCAGCTGATCCTAAAGACCTTATCAATGTAGCACTTCCATGGACTTAAACAGAATCCTATATAAAAGCAATAAGATTAAGACCAATATTTATCCCAGTGAGAGTATTTAAAAATGCTTCATCTTTAATATCCCATACCTTATGACAATGATCAAAAGATGAAACAGCATGGGTATACATACATATTTGTTTTCCTTCCACAGCCTTTTTACAAGCTTGGATATGACAAGTTAATCATAAAACACCAAGAGACATTAAATAAAAAGTAGGTAAAGAGTCAAAAAACAGCCCCAGAACAAACAAGATCTGGTCTCTGCATTTCCCAATCAATCTTTTTATTTTCCTAGAAAAACAGGGGAAGGAAAACCTGTAGATCACTAAATCCATGCTTTGGATCAAGGGATCTCATATGAATTCTTAATTCAGTGACTAATCATGAGAAAGCCCTACCTACCACCAATACCTTATAGGATGTCTGAACATTTCAGAAAGCTTTTCTAAATATCCCTCCCAACTACACAGTAGGTCTATTTAGACAAGCATTTAGTAAGATACCCAGGAAAGATCTCTATAAAAAGCAAAAGCCCCTAACAAAACAAAGCCAAATGCTGATTTATTGATACCAATGAACGACTGTTAACCAATTCAAATAAATTATTTTGTGGTGCTAAGTACAAAACAAACAACAAAACATGCCTGTAAAAGAGAGAGTAGACTTGCATGTCTGAAGTTGCCTGTATTTCAAAGTGAAAAGTTTAGGCCAATGACTGCAGCTATAATAGGAGTAACTCTTATGAATGAGCTTTAGTCAAAAAATAACATCGGGGCATTATATTTATAAGCAAACATCACAAGAATTCCTAAAGGTGAACAAGAGAGTTTTTTTATTCATTAACAAAATCTTCATATACCGCCCATCAAAGCTAATAAATATGCAAATGGTTCTACAATGAAGTCCTCGAATATATACCTAAACAGCATTTAAACTGGAATTAATTATGTGTGTGCATTCCTTACTTCCTCCCTCAAAATGGAAAAACCATTCCCCTTTACTATTCAGATACCTTAAGGGTGCCAAGTAGGGGTGCACCAATAAAGATTTTCTTGGCCAGTACTGATAGCTGATTATTAACTAGCCATATCACCGGATACCAATTCGATAGCTGATTTACAGGAATGCAGCCAGGCAGCCTGGACTCAAGCCAATAAGTCTTGGGGGGGGCGGAGGAAGGGGAGGAAGGAGAGTGGGGAGGGGCAGATCGAGGCCCCCATGGTGAGGGAGTGGGGCAGGGGCAGAGGCTGCCCAGCCAGGCGGTGAATGGGACCCCAGGGCTGGGAGCGGGACAGAGCCATGGGCAGCTCATCTAGCAGGTATGGGGGTGTTCCCTGCCACTGCACTCACCCCCGGATGAGGCATGGCAGGGCATGTGCCCTCCCAGATTTGTACCTGGGGTGGAGGTAGGTTGCCTGCTGTGGGCTCAGGACTAGGGGCTGAACCAGCCTCATCCTGGCAGGGGCGGGGGTAGAGGAGGGAGGAGAGGTGGGCTCATTTACTGAGGGTAAGGCAGCAGAGTGGGGTGCCCTGAGCAGGGGTGGTGCCGAGCCCAGCCCTGGCCCAAACCACTAGGAAGAGTCTGGTGCAGCCCCTGCCCCTGAGCCCGTAGCCCGCCTCTGCCCCAGGCACAAATCGGGGTGGGTGGGGCACATGGCCCTCATGCTTTCCCTGGAGGTGCACACAGTGGTAGCAGGCAGATGCCCCTCCTCCCCCCACTCTGGATGAGCTGCCCATGGCTCTGCCCTGCTTCCAGGGTCCCATTCACCACCCTGGCAGGGCAGCACCTGCCCCTGCCCCACACCCTCCCTCCCTGTGGGGGCCTCAATCTGCCCCCCACACCACTCTTCCCTCTGCCATGCCCTTTCTCTCCTACAGACTTATCAGTAGGATGCTGCTCTCCAGGCTGCCTGGCGCATTCCTGGCCACGTGCATGTGTGTAGCTGCATGCAAACGCACAGCATTTACTGGTGACATTATTGGCTACACTGGCCAAAAAAAGCTGTTAGCTGATAATGTTAATTTTCCTCTTACTGGTGCTGATCCGATACATGGCCTATATATCAGTGCGCCTCTAGTGCCAAGTCTTTTCTTATTTTTTCTAAAGAACTTCTTGCACATTCCTCAGAATATACTTTGTACCCAAAAATGTTATCTAACACATGTCCCAACTATACAGTTGGTTCAGCAAGAAATATCACTAAAAATACTCTCACTTCTTCCATATTTCCTGGACAATCACAGCTACAATAACCCTTGGTACTCTGATGTCATGACCCAAAAGGCATGATTGTGTGTGTGCTTCAGCACCAGAATTATCCCCGCCAAGTTGCAGAGCATTGCACGGGAGAGTTTCCTGTAGCAAGAGGAAACCCCGGTGCAGGGACGAGTTTCCCGCCTTTTCTGCAGCTTCTTTTGCAGAGTGCATTGCTCATGTTGCAAGAGGAATGCACGGTGCAAAAGAGTTCCCACCACCGGTATGCAAATTCGTTATCCGTGATTGGCTAGTGTTAAATTATTCGCACGTGGCGGCTAGCGATTGGCCTGTTAGCCGTATAAGAGGCTTGAGCAGTTTCCGCCCAAGCCGAAGAGGACTCCACATCCATCTCGTGGGGACTCTGGGTACACGGCAGGGTAATAGAAACCCTGTGTGAGATCCATTGGTGGCTCGTTCACCCAGAGCATCCGGAGCTCTGCACCGTGGAGCCTAGCAACCTCCACGAGACCGTCTGTGTTGTCTGTCTGTAACTGCAACTCAATCAAGTTTTCCAGCCTACACCACTGCCATCTCGGTGTAAGTAAACAATCTTTAAAACTACCGATACGCGTTTGTGCCTAATTCCAGCTCGACGGCCTTCCCTCTCCGACCCGGCGTGCCCAGGCTGCTGGCCACAGCCCGCGTGCAGCGCGGAAAAGGGCTCGGGTCGCTCCCGGCCCGCACATCTGAAAGCAAAATAATGATTGGAGGTGAGTATAAGGTAGGCCACACTGGAAGTATGGAAGACTCTGACCTGGATAAAGAGAGAATAGGAGGCACAGATCCCCAGGTATAATGGGCCAAGATGATAAGGAATGCCCGAAATACAAGGAGGAAAATATGGGACTTCCTAGTATTTTGATTTTTTTGAATTTGTTTTTAAATGATTGAACTTCAGATTCAACTTCACTGCAAACTGAGGAAAATGTATATTTGTTACAGCTTTAGCCCAGTCTGTCAGTAACTCATAAAACAAAAAATACTAGATCACTGCGCAGCAAATGCTTGGTGTTAGACAGATTCCCCGACAAGGATGGTCATGTGTCATATTTTTTATATTATAGTTCAGCGGCATTTTAAATTAGTGCTCTACATTACTGTATTAGTGCACTACATTTGGCCTACAGAAGGGATATAATTAATGTTATAGATAAGAGAATAAAGAAGCAGAACACGTGAAGGATCTTGGAATACTAAATTGCAACCAAAGACCTGATCCTCTTAAGTCTAAAACATGAACAGTCCCACAGAAATCAACATAAGTAAAATCTGCACATGTTCAGGGCCTTCAGCCGATTACTGATTATTCTAATCTTTTGCAAGCTTCTTGAACCCATTACACCCCAGCTGACTAAATCCGATAAGAAACTCATTAAGAAAAGTTAGAGCTAATATTGCTAACAGGCAAATAAAAACTTGCATACAATATCCTGACAATGTTTTCAACAAAAAAGGCTGCAAGAAGCAACTGATGTTAGAATTTAGACAAATGAATATACAAATACATGAGAAAACTATTGTAAAAAAGTATTTCTTGAGCAAATGCAATTAGGCATTCAGAGGAGGCACTATTTTCTAGTTTCTGAAACAAAAAGCTTACGCAACCTATAAAATTTGTAGAATGACAGAACTGATTGTACTTCCCTTTTCTTTTTCTTGATTAGCGCCAAAGTAACTAGACTGCTCTTTTTAAAAAATGGGCTTCAAGTACTAACTGAAGTCCAATGGTAAACTGAAACCTAATTTCAGGCTGTGCACTGCTAATAAGTACCAGTAAGATGTATTTAATTAATCTTATACTGTAAATGGAATGACTAACTGAGCTGGACATTTCCTAATGACCAGCTGGAACATTAACTCCAGTTCATCTCAGTGGACATTATTCCTCAGAAAATGCCTTATGGTTTATTATTGTTGTACTAATACTTATTTTCCTTCAGATAATGAAGCATATGTTTTAATGGCAATGACTAAAAGTCTTATATTTTAAATCATATTGAAATTTTGCCAAATGGAACATACTGGTAACATTTAGAACCAAAGAATCTATAGAGCTGTAGCAAGAGTTTCACAAGTTAGGACCATGCTGGTAATTTTTCCAAGAGATTGAAAACTCCACGGGTCTACATACCACACAAATGATTGGAGCTGCTCCTGTCAGAGTACAGGTCCTATACTATGACATGTAGATTCAGAAAGCCTTCAATAAGCTCACTTCTTACAAATCACACCTTAAATATAAGGATAGATATAGCCATATTATAGCAGTATATCTGTCCTACATCTCTGAAAGGACAATGATCTATAGCAACACTGCTATGATCTACCCGTTGCTAACATTGGATACAGAAGGCAAATTGGATTACACATCCTTGGGTCATCAAAATAGAGGAAAAGGCAATTTGCCCCAATTTGTTCTGGTCATAACACTAAAAACTGCTCATGATACTAAGATGTTACCTACAGTGATTCTTTCTGGATGATGTCACCACAAAAAGTCTCAAAACTGGCAATACAGATGAGTGCCAGGATAAGATGAGTAGCCTCCAGCCTTCGGTGCAGAGTTTTTTGTACAATATAAGTATTTTTCTTTAACAATAATATTAATGATCTCAAAGCACTAAACAAAAACAATTAGGAGAAAACTACCATTTAAAAATCAAGTGACAAACTTTCACAATGCCATGGCAGTAGCAAGTTCCTTAGAAACAAGATGTCATAAGATTTGTTTTCCAGTTCTTAATGTTTCCATCCCAAGTATTTATGTGAATTGTTAATTGAGTCTGGAAATCACTACACTGTTCAGCTTTGTAGGGCAGTAGAAGTACTAGTTTTTGAGACCAAGTGCTGGAACAACATTTTTGAAGACACTCCCATACTGAAAGCCCTCTACATGACGTACAATTTAACTTATCATCCTAATCATTATATTTGTTTACTGTCTATTGACAGAATGAAAACTACCCAGTGCTAGGAGAAACTCATGCTTACTTTAGTATGTTCATACCTGTCTGCTGCCCACGGTGCCTTTTTTCAATTTACTTTTCCATCATGCTAAGACTAGAGATGAATAAAGAGTGTTTTCATTTCCCAGAAAGTCAGCAGAAAAAAAAAGGCCCTTCCTTTTGCAGCCCACTGAGCATTACAGCACCAAAACAGACCAGAAAAAATGCCCTCTAGACAAGCTATGTCAGTTCATATGCTTAGCAACCAGTCCTCACCCACTCTAATGGTTAAAATACTTTCCTAGGAAGGGATTTACTTGGAAAATATATCTGGCCAAGACCAATGAGGCCAGGCAGTACCAAATCTAAGGGAGAGGACTTCATGAATTTCCAGCCCTCCAAACTAACTGGAATACTCCACCCAACATGCTCATTACTTGGCCACCGCTGCAGGATTTTGCAATGGACAGCGGACACATCCACACCGTATTGAATCGGACACCAGTCACCGGCGCCCCCTACTTTCATCCCAGGCTTGCTGCTAGGTCCAGCCTACACCGCTAAGCTCCTGCGCCTGCTACGCTCCCATGGAGCCGGGTGCCTGAAGACGGGCGTTCATGCCCGAAAGCTGGCAAAGAACAATTGCCCCATCTATTTAGTTGGCCTAATAAAAAAAACACATCTATGCAAAGAAGTTTTAGGAAAAACTTTTTCTCAGTCAGGGTGTCCAGACTGTGGTATGAGCTCCCTCCAGAGGTGGTGCAGTCGCCTACCCTGGAGATCTTCAGGAGAGCACCTTGCTGCAGTCGCCCAGGTCTCTTTCCTGCTTGGTGCGGGGGGCTGGACCCCATGATCTTCCGAGGCCCCTTCCGGCCTGA